GCGGATTGCGCAGCTTCGTTGTCTAAGTAGAAGGTGCTGAAGGTATCTCTCAACACTTCCGCCCATAGCATGAACGCCACTAGGACCGCGTAGAGTTCGACTTCATAGATTGGATGCTCGGATTCAGCCTCCAGCACTTCCAAATCAGACTTGGGGATCTCCGAGCTGAAGAAAGCCAACGGGACGCCAGAGGCATCGTAAATGATTCCTCCGATGCCGGCCACAACCCCAGCGCCAGGTTCATAAGATCCATCAGTAAAAATGAAGAGCTCTCTCCCGGAAGTCTGCCTCAACTCCAAGGGTCTCGAGGTACTGACGTGTTGGAGCAGTGTCCTCACCGCCCATTCCAGATCAGCGCTCAGTTCCGATGAACCATCGATTCCCCTGGCTCTCAAGGAAAGTTGGTGCATAGCTTCGCACGGTGCCCGTCCGAACAAGTAAGAAGAATACCAATGCATGCGCCCGCGGAGGACTTCAGCCTCCTTGGGGCTAAGTCTTCCCGTCTGCAAGATGTTCGCGAGAACGTCGTTCAACTCCTTCTTTCGATCGCTGGTATGTGTGATGGAGATGACCCCGCTCTCGAATCCCGACAGGTCGAAGGCCAAGCCAAGCGCATTAAAAACCGCATCAAACTTTGTTGCTTTCTTGCCCTCTTTGGCATACTGAATCCCAAGAGCCTCGAACACTTCGTCGGCGAACTCTTCGATCTGTTCCTCCATTCCATCACAAGATAGCAATGGAAAATCATCGAAGTATGCGCACCAGCCCAAGCCCATGTCTCGGACGCCAGTGTGCCAGACGGCGGCTGACACCCTAAGGAAGCCAGCCACACTTCCGGTGGCACCGAAAGGTAGGACATTAGTCCCATAGATCCGCGCCCTCTTGCTGTCCGTGTCGAACACACCAATCCTCAAGTGTTGTCTGTCAAGAGGATGTACGGGGTAGAACTTGTAAGCGGAGACGAGATCTATTGTTTTCCCAACCAATTTGAACAAGCGGTCACGTGGCATATTCAACAACTCAAGGAAGACAGCCGCCAGAACGTCGACCCCGTGCAGGGTGAACTTCTCTGGCAGCCCGCAAGCCATGTTCAAGCCGCAATCCTTGCCGTTGTCAATCACCCGTACTTTGTTTTTCTGCTCAAGCCCGAAGCGGTGCGCCAGAATGATGTTGCTGAAGTCAGGGGCGGTGTCCTCGAAGATCCAGCCCTTGCGCTCCTCCTCTTGGGTTTCAGCCCACGCCTTCCTAGACGTCTCGTCCGGCTTCGTGTTTGTTATCCGGCTCATAGTCATGGGAGATCGGTAAGACGATTGTGCTAACAGACTTTCAAGAGAGGATTCCGGTGCTTTGACTCTAGGTTTGAAGATTCCGGTCTCTCTCATCCATCCTGTCAAGCGGAAGCCATCACGCAAGTCAGCCCAAAGCATCTGGTCAGGGAAACCATTTCGCTCAAGAATGCGCTGCCAAGCAATGACGTTCTTGCCAGCCAGCGCCTTCGCCAAGTACGCGGGCTTTTGTTTCATAAGCGCGTCGTTGGTCTCAGCCGACACCTTGGAAATTTTCTTCCACGCATCCCGAGCCTCATCGGCCCTTTTCTTGCGCTCCTCTGCTGGCATAACTACGTTGGCAGCGATTTCCTTTGCCGGACCTTGGCGATTGACCAGTATTGCATTGCGAGGGTGCCCCGCTTGGACCGCAGCCTTCACAAAGTCCTCCGGTTCATGTGGAATTCCAATAGTAAGAATTTCTGCCTGGGTCGCACAAGGATTGTCATCGCACACCATTCCCACCACCTCGTACACGTCGTTTTTATCCTCGCTTGCAAGCAAAGAGAAATCGGAAGTGTCAGGTTGATAGATCTTGGCCGTCCCTCCCAGCAACTCGGCAGAACTATGTCTGTCGAAACCAGGATATTTCGAGGCAGCGCAAACCCGGACTGCTCCCCACGGCACCAGTTTGCGTTGCGTCACACGAGCACCTTTGGGGTAGCACTTCAAAAGAGGTGCCGCAGCATCCGCGGAGCGTACAGGTACAGCCCAGCAGTCGTGTGATTGGTAGCATGAAACCAGAGGTCGAGCATATTTTGGCTGTCGCTGCAGTGCGACTTGCTCACAGGCTCGCGGCTGCTGTGAAGTTGAAGCCAATGCAGGAAAACTCTCAGCCAGAATGTAAAGCATCCGTTCGCAAAGAAGCCAAGGGTATGCCGCCTCCGCAGCAGTGGGGAATTGCCAATGCCCATCCACAAAGCGAGGCTTCCAGGATGCGTGTTTGTGGTCACGGGAACAACGCAGTGCCAGCGACTGAAAGCGTGGGTCGGAGCACCAGAATAAGGTAGTTTTGTCGCGATCCCCGCCATGCATGCAAGCATCAAAGATGAGTTGGTAGCTATCTTCACGGCGACAAAGGTGGTCGAGGCCGTCACATAGCCAAGCCAAGCTGTTGAGAGGGTTCTCAACGGTCGCGAAAAGACCAAGCTGCAGGGCGAGGTCAACGATGCAGCCGACAGCTCGGTACAACTTGTTGGCAGCGAGTACACGATCGCGGTCGGCACCGGTCAGTGTGGAGAGGCCCTGCGGTTCCGTGACACTGCGTAGTGGTTGAGGCACAGGGCAGCCGTAGTGCTCAGCCTTATGTAAAGGCCTGGATCGTGCCGCCGAGGCCGTACCACAAGGAGGTGCCAAATGGATCCAAGCAATGTTGTCAGCCTCCAGATTGATGATGTCAAGCAGCGTCTGCAAGTCGGCATCCAACGTAAGGTCCAGTCGTTGTATAGAGAAATTGGTTCTCTGCGAGGAGCGGTCCACCGCCAAAGTACGAAAGCCCATGCGCCCAGCAACAGTGCTGAGGCGGGCGGTGCCGGCAAAGATTTCGATAACAAGTGGAGCCAGGTTGTTCGGGAAGATCTTCTCAGCCAATGCATCAGCATGTTGGTCGTCCGGTGTAGTTGGCGTCATAGATTTAGACGACGTTGCTGTAGAATGCACTGGCAAGGCAGGCCGATATGCAACGCGGCGGCGCTTGGCGATGGAAGCTGAGGCCTGTGGCGGCGGCGTCGTAGAGGTAGACAAAGAGGGCGAAGAAGTCGTTGAAGTGACCTGGCGAGGAGCGGCCGCATGATCTTGGGGAGGGCCGGGCAGTGGAAAACCAGAGTCCCGCAGCCAGTGGCAGTCCCGT